TATCGAGGTACATTATTTTTTAGGCCTATCTTGGTAAAGTCCTAATGATAGATCGAAATATTTGTTTTCTAGCATTACTGCAAGCAGTTTGTTTCTATATTGTACCATGATTTATACATTATATTATATTTATATATAACAACTATATAGTTAATATATATACGGTAGGCTATATATATGTATGTATGTATGTATGTAATGCACTATAACATTGTAGCTTAAAACTTCGATCATGCTTAATAATTACAAAATAGATATTGTTTACTCCGAAACAGTTACAATATTATATCGTTTATACTCCCTTTAACCAACAATACCGAAAAACTTTCGTTCATTTCATTTTGTAACACGTGGTAACATGATTATTGTGAAATTCGAACCATATAAATTAATTAACAAACATGAAAGTTTACTCAACAATACAAACCCGTTTAATTCTCTTTAAAATAGTATAAAGAAAAAGTGTAACTCCACGAAAATAGAATAAAAAGTACAGCACAACAATTACAGTATAACAATTTGAACATAGGCCATACTTTTAACGTGAAGGGGACCAATTGTCCAAAATTTTAGATCCACTATACTCAGCCGGTCATTCATCAGAAGTGAAGTGTCCCCAAGAGAAGAAATCGGTAACTGGGTTGAAAGCTATATAGTAGTGCACAGACTCGGTGATTAGTAAAACGAATTGTTTTAGAAGATCCCGCTTCACACATATGCTGGCCACCGTAGCAGACTTGAAGAGAAAATTCCGTAATGATCGCACAATAACACCAAGGAGGTATGCAATGCACCATGGAATGAATGAGTTGATCTATCTAATTAGCGGTCTTAGCAGCTTAGTTCAACGGTTTTATAAGATCATTAACCAGCTTATTTAGAGTTTATTTACGTAATATATCAAAAACACATTATATATGTTTTCATGATACAAGGAAATATTAACGTTTAAAGTGTAAAACAAAAAATATTATAATTTAAAAAATATGTCAACTGTAAATATTTCCTTCAGTTTGAATATCTTATTCGAGCTATTATTAATTTGCTGCGTTACCAAGAGATGGGCTATTATTTATTCTCCGTATTGTAAACAGTAAAAAGAGAATTACCATATAACCTGTTTAGAATGTATCTCTATTCGTGCAATACAACACCATTAAATAAATAAGTACATTTAAATAAATATATATACATATAAACGGTCTATTTTTTTCTCTTTTCTTCCTTTCAAGACATTTATTAACTTCCATAGAACACAAGAAGATGCAATATAAGAATACAATATGTTTTTTTTTTAAAACGTAAGCTATGGAAGAAGGCATGATCCCGAGAAGATAAAGAACTTGTGATGGGCATGCCTGAAAAAGAAAATCGATACAGACAACAACAAAAAAGAGCCAGAAAACAAAAAAAGGAGAAAAAAATACATAAATGAATAAACAAACAAACAAACAAACAACTGAAGTTCATGCGAAAGCAGAACATATCAAATCTGACCGCAAATATTAATTTAATAGAACGAAATTAGGTGAAGTTTCAATTTTTTTGAAAATGTTCTTAGAGAATCAGCGTTTAGAATTGGGGGGAGGGGGGAGACTGTTCATCTTTGTAGGGCCTGGGTATCTAATATTATGTTGAAAACAATTAGTTTTGTGGGTAGGTATGTGAATA